GGGTGATCTCGCCTCTCTACAACCTCCACCTCCCAGGCTCAAGCAATTCTCACGCCCCAGCCTCCTGAGTAGCTGGGACTACAGGAATGTACCACCACGACCAGCTATTTTGTATTTTTGGTGGAGACAGGGTTTTGCCATGTTGTCAGGCTGGTCTCGAACTCCCGGTCTCAAGTTCCTCTAACCGCCTCAGCCTCCCAAAGTGCTGTGCCTGGCCTTTTTATTTATCTTTTTTTAAATAGAGAAGGGGTCTTGTTGACCAGGATGGTTTTGAACTCCTGGGCTCAAGTGATCCTCCTGCCTCAGCCTCCCAAAGTGCTGGGATTATAGGATAAGCCACTATAACCAACAAAGAAGGCAGGCTTTGAGCAACAGGAGTTTTATTACTTGTCACAAATGAAGCACTGGGCATACTCTCCAAAGCAGGAAAGTGACAGGAGGGTTTTATGTGGTGGCAGAGAGGGAAGAGGGTATGTCATTGAATGTAGAGGGGCTGCAGTTGTGCAGATGCAGTGAATCGTTATTTCAGCACATAAGTCACATGTTATGGTAATGAAGTTATAGCCATCTCCCGGGGTAGAGATGTTGGCATGGTAATGAGGAAAGTACACTGGGATCCATCTGTAAATTGCTGGGGTCTGTCACGAGCTGGTTTAAACCAGCTAGCTGGCTACATTCCACACAGCGTGTAGGGAAAAAAGTGGTGATTACTCAAGTTGATTGTATTCCTATAATCCCTGGAGACCCTTCCTATCTGCTTCACAGCCCCACCCAACCCTCTGCATCTCTTTGGCTGACACGTGTAGACATTTGATATTCTGGTCCCTGATTTAAGCCCTCAATGATTTATGCACAAATGTTAATACTTTTTCATTATGTATTTTTTCCTACCTTATCACTGATCATATTAGGGGTTTAAGAAACCGGCACTAAACTAGGTATGCTTTCTAAAAACTTGTTATCAGTTTCTCCAAATAGGTAGTGAAAAGGTTCTTGATTATATTCAAATTAAAAGATTGCTATATATAGATATGGCAGTGTCACAGATACTGGAGGTGGGAGAGACAGTAAAAAGCTAGAGAGGTGAATCTTTGGAACTCTATCATTGTGATGGGTCTTCCTTTGTGGGGGTCAGAATGTCTCAGTTCTTTTGAAGTCCCATGAAATTCAGGGACTCCCTCCAAGGAAAAGCAGAGGATCTTGCAGGAAATTTCTGGGTTTTTTTCATATCACTGGTTGTCCATGAACCCCAGGTTGACAATTTTTGCTCTACCAGGACAAACAGTATGTTTATGAAGAGACACACGATTCATTTATTTCAATATTATGTGCCAGGGACTATGACTAGACTAATTTATAATTTTAAACAAGAAACATGCTCCCTTGTCCTCACAGAGGTTAAATGTAGCATGGATACAGAAATTAGACAAATCACCAAATACATGTTTACAATTTGTGTTAGTGTTATGAAAGAATATGGCAAATCGAAAGTGTATAACAGAACTAATTTAAATGGAGGTTAGAGAAAGCTTCAGGGAACATTAAAGCTGAGACCTGCAATTCTTAGTTAAAAGTTTGGAAATGAGTATTGTAGGTCCAGGGAACAACCAAGACCCAGAGGAAAGAGTTCTGGCACATTCAAGGAAATGGAAATGCCAAAGCCAAGAGTAAAAAAAGTTAATAGGGAGCTCAGAACCAGATATGGAAACTGTAATTTGGAAGCAAAGAGGAATGAGTACAACTGAGAAAATCAGTGCTAAGGGCAGACAAGATAAGAACTGAAAACTAGACAATGGATTACATAGAGGTCACTGATGATTTTTGTAAAAGCTATTTGATGGATTGATGGGGACAGATGCCAAATTTCAGTGCATTTGAAAAGCAGAGAAGAGATTAAGTAGAGACAGCTAAGCGCAGATAAGAACTTAAATGTGAAGCAATGATGAAAACAGGTTTGGGGTTGGGCACTGTGGCTCACGCCTTGCCTGAGGTCAGGAGTTGAGACCAGCCTGGTCAGCATGGAGAAACCCCGTCTCTACCAAAAATACAAAAATTAGCCGAGTGTGGTGGGGGGTGCATGTAATTCCAGCTACTCGGGAGGCAGAGACAGGAGAATTGCTTGAACCCAGGAGGTGGAAGTTGCAGTGAGCTGAGATCACACTGTTGCACTCCAGCCTGGGCAACAAGAGCAAAACTCCGTCTCAAAAAAAAGAAAAAAAAGAAAAGAAAAAGGGGTTGGTAGCTAGAGGACACCAAGACATTTGCTACAAGTAGAGGTAGAATTAAAGACCATACTTTGTATAAAATAAGAGATATGGGAGATGTTGGAGAATCTGTGAAAGTCGAGGGATAGGACCTGGCATAGAAGGAGAGGCTGAAGACTCAGGAAGGGGAGAATAACTGAATGGGTGAAGTGCTTGAGAAGTCTGGAGTAGCTATCTACTCCAGATCACAGAAATAAAGGACAATACAAATGAAGATAAACTTGAAGATTTAGTGATGGGAAGATGAGGAAGTGTCCATATCAAGACATTTAATGTATTAAGAATGAGGTTTCTACCAAATTGGTCAGAGGTTTGAGGAGAGTAAAGAAGGCTGACATCGTTTTGAGGGAGATGAGAGACCAAACTTCTTAAGGAAACATTAAAATTATATGACCATTCTGGGGCCTTCTGAACTTGGTGATTATGGTTTCATAGTGCTGTGATTTTTGAGGCTTTTCCTCAGCCATGTTTTGCTATACTGTATATATGAATGTTATTGTGGTTTCAGGTATAGATATTTTCCAGCTATAGATATATGTAAGATACACAAATAGAATTGAATGAGTCAGGCATGGTGGCTCACGCCTCTAATCCCAACATTTCGAGAGGCTGAAGTGGGAGGATCACTTGAACCTAGGAGATTGAAGCTGCAGTAGCCATGATTGCGCCACTGCATTCCAGCCAGGGTGACAAGAGTTCAAAAAAAGAATGAAGGATGTCATAGAAAAAATACAATATAAAGAAAAGTACAGAAATGACAGTGATGAGCTATAGGTGGCTTGAGGAGTCTGGTTTTTAATCACATAAGTTAAATAAGCTGGAAGATTATTATTATTATTATTATTTTGAGACAAGAGTCTCATTCTGTAGCCCAGGCTAGAGTGCAGTGGCACGTTCTCAGCTCACTGCAATCTCCGCCTCCTAGGCTCAAGTGATCCTCCCACCTCAGCTTACTGAGTAGTTGGAGTATAGGTGTATACCACCACACCTGGTAATTTTTGCATTTTTTTGTAGAGATGGTATTTCACCAGTTGCACAGACTGGTCTTGAACTCCTGGACTCAAGCAATCCACCCACCTCAGCCTCCCAGAGTGCTGGGATTATAGGTGTGAGCCACTGTACATGGCCTATTTTTTTTTAATGTTTGAAACCAGAAGAAATTGAATAGTTTTTCAAGCAAAACATAAACTGTCCAAATATGAGCCATATTTTTCATTTAAACCACAAGGAAAAATGAATTGGTTCTATAAAATACATACTTTTAATGGGCATAGGAGGCTGGGTGTGGTGGTTCACCCTTGTAACCCCAGCACTTTGGGAGACCGAGGCAGGCAGATCACCTGAGGTCAGGAGTTCAAGACCAGCCTGATCAACATGAAAAAAAACCCTTCTCTACTAAAAATACAAAATTAGCCAGGCATGGTGGCGCATGCCTGTAATTCCAGCTATTCGGGAGGCTGAAGCAGGAGAACTGCCTGAACCTGAGAGGCAGAGATGGCAGTGAGCCCAGATTGCACCATTGCACTCTAGCCTAGGCAACAAGCGCAAAACTCCATCTTAAAAAAAAAAAGAGAAATAGGAATTGCAACATTAAGGCTAGGCACAGTGGCTCACACCTGTAATCCTGGCCCTCTGAGATACTGACATGGGTGGATCACCTGAGGTCAGGGGTTCAAGACCAGACTGGCCAACATAGTGAAATCCCTTCTCTACTTAATACACAAAATCATTAGCTGGGCATGGTGGCATGTGTCTGTAATCCCAGCTAATTGGGAGGCTAAGGCAGGAGAATCACTTGAACCTGGGAGGCAGAGGTTGCAGTGAGGCAAGAAAGCACCATTGCACTCCAGCCTGGACAACAGAGTGAGACTCTGTCTCAAAAAATAAATAAATAAATAAATAAATAAGAGAAGTGTAACATTAGAATTTAAGAAAACTAGAATATATACTTCAGGGCAGAGATTTATTTTTACTCATATGTAGCCTGAACTCCAAAAACAGCTCAATTTTTAATTATGGTACTGGCAATTAAAAACCAAAATGGCATTTGATATTGATATATAACCCTTTTGCTGTGATGGCTTTGTTTCAGAGCTATTTATGAAGAAATTGATGCTCACCAGGACAAAGGAGCTCAAAATCATGTTGACTGAGGTAAAAACTTCAACTTACACAACTTAATTCCATATTACAAATAATTTCAGTATAATTATCACTTTATGTATTTAGTATTTATATTTTGTAAGGGCCATCTGAGTCTGACACTTTGAAATATGAGTTCTCCTGAATCACTCAAATTATGGGGAACCATTATTCACTAATGAAAATCATTCTTTGTGCTTCTGTCATCTGTAAATAATAAGGCTTGGGAATGCATTAGTTATGGTATAGAAACATTAGTGCTAACAAAAATAGATGAACAATAGACGTAGCACTGAAATCAGGCATTTGTCTTTCATGTGCAGTTAATACTTGTTAACTGGTACCAGTAAACCCATTTACTGTTTCTCCTCCAAATAGGTCTTGAGTTTTTCCCATTTTCAGCACTACTGATCCCATGTATTTACTATTTAATGGTCACCAATGAATTATTAAACTTATTTATTCCTCTTATACTCTCCCCTATGGAAGAAGCACATTCTTACCTTTTTTCTACTAGACTGTGACTCTCCAGCCTCCCAGGAGAGACAAGTACGAGAGTTACCAAGAAATGGGGAAAGAGAAGGACAGGATGAATACTGGCCATTTTCTTCTCTATTCTAGAAGAAAGAGGATGATCACCTCACTAGCCACATCAAAGGTGCCAACTCTCTGTGCAGCTTTGAGGCCTGGAAGACAATACCTACCTACCAACATGTCAAAGCTACGGTGGAACATTTCTGCTATTATGAAGATTAAACAGAAGAATAACAGTTCCAGGATAACAGTGATTCCTGACAACAGCGTGAGATTTCAACAGAACTTGTTTGGAACAAATACTCAACTTAAAACTTTAGCAGAAAAATAATTACTTAGTCCTTAGGCCAACCAATTTAACTGCAGTGTCATATGTTTCACAGGCCTTCCTACATTTACAAATCATCACACAGCTGTGTATAAGAGATTATCTTACTATAAAATAATTCTGAATAGATGAAAGAATAAAATGAGAGAAACTGAATGTATTATTCTGGAAGAATAAATACTGAGTGCCTTCATTTAACTAAAGTTGAATGTAAAAGTCAATTTGCACTTCTTTATAAATAATCCTCTGGTTTAGAATTATAAATTGTTAAAGCCTTGATGATTGTCATTTAATTATATTTTAGGTGTCCTGAACAGGTCACTAGACTCTGCATTGGGTGGCCTTTTTGATTCTTTGTAATGCTAAATAGTATTTTCTCTCTTTTTACTATAACTTAACATTTCTATTTGGAACACAGACAACTGGAAAATATTCAGAATAAGTTTTACATTTGATGAAAAATAAATCACTATTAAAATAATTTAATACATCTTTTTTTTTTTTTTACAAAGTTTGTTCCCAGAAGAACTTTTGATGTCAGTAAATCACAATCCCACCTGTACATTTTAACATTCATGGATTTGTAAAGATGATGGTAAAAGCTATCAGCCTAGTAAATATACTTATTTTATTTCAATTTCATGATAGGACAATTTCAAAGTAATTATTCAGAACTCTGAATATAAAATAGCCCTAGATCTTATAGGACAAAAAGTCAAATTTGAAATAAGAATTTAAATCTTTGGACAAGCTGTTAGGGCTTAGTGACTCCTCTTCTACTTTGAGCTTTTAAAATACTGACTGTTCAAAATAGCAACCAACTCTTTTAGACAAAATAATAAACATGGTCAGAAGTTCTGGCCTATGACTTGAAACAGATAACCCTGAGCATACATTTTTGAAAACATTCTCAGATTCATTGCTATAATTATGAAGAGTGAATAATCTAGAAGGGAACTATAGACTTAAGCCGAACCATTAAGTCCATGCCTGCATATTTAAAAAACAAAGCAGCTTATTTTAACACTATCAAACTCTTCAGTATGGGATTGACTGGTCAGCCATATATTCTAGCTAGACATGTGGGTTTCTTATGATAAAAGCTGAACCTGTTCTCTCAATTTTAAGTGAAATAAATTAGTTGAGAAAATAGCTATTTAAAATATAAGGCTTCAAATTATTGTACAATATTTCTCATCTGAGAAGGCAGGATACATGATTTTCCCAAAAACCACAACTCTGAAGGAAGACTTAGTTGCTGACTTCAATTATATCCTGGAACTGGCAACTTGTGCCCTTCTTTTGCTTCAAAAAAAGTGTAAGAAAGAGTGATAACATCAACCTTAATCATTCTTGGATCTTCAGCAAATTCAGGATCAATGTAGAAAAACACTGGCATATCTACTTCTTCTTGGGGATTAAGCCTTTGTTCTTCAAAACAGAAGCACTAGAAGTTATAAGAAGATTTTGTTTAATAACATTTCTATTGTCATATTACATAACAGAAACTAATACAGTTATCTTCTTAGCATTCCAGTACACTTCTTGAGTTTAATAAGCATACTGTTAAATACATAGTTCTGTGATAAAATAAGAGCATCTTTTCATCTCAATGAGTTCTGCTTTACGGATCAAGAACAAATTCTAACCTTAGAAGCAGATATCCATTTGATTTGGTTCTCAATCTCTGCATAGCAAGTATAGATAACGAAGAAAAAGAGCTTGACGTTTAGAAGAAGTTAGTTTTCAGAAACCACAAGATCTACTAAAACACTAAGTTTCATGTACCTTTATCAAATATTTTGTAAAGTTTACATTTTGCTGTACCTGTATTTTATTGAAATACTGTCCGGCTTCAAATGGAACAACATTGTATGTAGAAATTCCAATTACTGGTTTGTCAGTAGGATTCTTAGCTTTGTAAAATGCCAGTGCAGTCTCTCCTGGAACCACCTGTTTTAAAGGATATAAATTATCAATACTTTCTATCTCACACAGTTCCTCTTTTTCCTGCTAGTCTAATTATTTTGCCTATTCATCAGACCATAATACCTAATCTAATGCAGGGTTCAGCAAAATAAATTGTGAGTATAACCCACAAACGTATCTGACTTTAAAACTTACTTGCATATGTCAATGAAGAACCAATGTTCTCATATCCATAATTAGTTATGAATTGTCCTCTTGTAAATTTGAAGTCTTCAAGGAATAATCTGCAAATTACATTATTTAAAATGTGTCCAACCCAATCATATCACAGCCCAAGCCCAACTTTTCTTTAACACTTATACCTGAAAGTCATGATTGACTAGTTTTTAAAAAAAGTATCAACATTAAACTTACCTTAAAACCATAATAAAACTGACTAGAAACTTTATTATGCCAACAAGTGTTAATACTTTGTTTGGAGAAAATAAGAAGATAGCAAAGGTTAAAATTTCCAAAAGATATTCTGTCACTTGTACCAATTCAGCCACTAATACCTTGTATACGACCATGTAATTGGATAATATTCATAATCATAACCTATAAAATCTTTAATTATTAAAGAGATTCAGTCATGTTTACTAAACTGGGAAAGCACTAATATTTATAAGGCTTTTCCATTACGAGTTGATTAACTCCACTGGCTAATCCTCAGTTAATAAGGTATCAGTTAAAATCTTCCCAAGATTACAGTTGGTTAAAATTTTAGGAAAGCTTTTAGGACAGTCTCACTTAGTCTCACTGGAATATAATATAACTATTTACTATTTATTGATTACTTCAAAGGCCCTCGATTTTTTTTCTTTTCAAAGGACAGGGATACCTTTTATATAAATCAGTAAACTACTCATTGTAACCAATGATTTTCCCATATCTTCTATGCCAGAGGATGTCGGGAAGCTATATGGCCTGACAGCTACTGCTACTCCCAACTGTTTCACTCATCTAAGCTTCATTTCAAAATACTGACAGGTTCCATTATTATTAATTTTTTTATTCCCACAGACTACTTTTTGATAATGCCTTACAGCTAATGCAACAGAATTTATATGTTAACTTTTAAGTTACATAATAGTAAAAGTCAGTTTGGAACAAGGGAAAATGCCCTGTTTTATTAGAATTGCATTGTTAAAAGTAGTCCTCTGACAGTTTAAGTGATGAAAAAAAGGAATTTACATTAATAAAGTAATCTTTTAATGACTGGTTAGTCACTTACAAATATTTCTGTTTGCTGAGGTCTGAAGTTCCACTGGAGACTTGCATGCACATCTGCATTAAAGGTAACTTTAATGATTCGATTCTTAACAGGCACCATGTTTTCAATCTGGTCTGATGCATGACCTGCAACTACTGATCCTCCAAGTCCAGTAGTCTAGAAAAAGATACCAAACATGTTAAACAATACTTTTAGGTGTTGATGATCTATTTATTTGATAAAAAGTTTAAAAACAATTTAGTATTAATAATTTATCTGGAGCCAAGTTTACATACTAACCACTTGTGTAACCACGTCAAGATTCTGACCACTTTTGGGATGTCATGAGCCTGTATTTGTTAAAGACATTCCTATTTTTCAGCAATCCCTTGGTTACCTGGCATGGTCACAAATGAGTCATTTGGGAAAAGCAGATTCACTAGATAAGGGAACTATTGTCACTTACAATAGAAGTCACAATTTCCAGCTAAGCCATTTATAAAAAACACATTTCCCTTTATTGCTAGTATATTAACTATTAGTCATTATTAGAAATAAAATTTACCCATGACTTCAATTTCATTGAAAATACTTAAATAATTCAATTTTTCCATATTCTTGACTGGTCCTTTTCCATATCACAGCTTTTGTAATCCAAATTAGATTGTAGCTTCACTTCTACTAATATATTCTGCTTTTCTAAGGCATCATAAGTATTTTCCCATGTTGGTCATGTTTTTGGATCTTTCCCTGTATAGTAGAGCTTTTATATAAATCACTAATTAGAGCACCTAATCTCTATGGCCAGAGAATCAAATAATCATAGGGCATCAAGAATACTTGTGTCTGACACTTCATTTATTCATGATAATTATTTCCTTGTCATCAGGTACTTTTAAAGAAAAAGCCCTTACGTCCAAGGTCATCTTTCTTCTGATACTTGAGGTTGCCAAAATTCTGATTTCCAGATAATTTGCCTGTTACTATGCTAGGGAAAAAAAAAAAAAAAAAAATTTGAGGCTAGGGGATGACTCCCAGCAAGACACAGTGTTAGCATCTTCTGTTTGTTACACAAGTCAACTAACTTCATTCAACTGCCATGCAACATTACTGAATTACATTGTATCTCTAAAAGATGCATCAGAGGGCAAGCCTTTATCTTTGTATATCCTTCTGCCTGCCTGCTATAATGTTTAAGATGTAACTCCTTTTCCTGAAGAATTTAAGTTACTTGAATAAAAATATGTTTAAGTGTCCTTCCTTAATAAAGATTCCCTGATATATTCTTTGAACATGAGTTCTTCCAATTTCTAAGTTCAATGCCTAGAGAAAGTAAAATAGACAAGACTAGAAAAGAGAACTAAAAAGATGTCCTGGTCTCTAGTCTAGTTGTGCTACTAACTAGCTCCAAGAACTTAACAGACTACAAATTACATTTGCCTTCCTCACCTATGACTGCACATGGACACATTTCACATACAATATTATCAGTTATTTCAGTTTGGGACAGGATTTCTCAATCTTGGCACTATGTACATTTTGAGCTGAATAATTTATTTGAGGGTGGGGCAGTGCCTTGTTGGTTTAGTAGCATTCCTAGCCTCTACCTATTAGATGCCAGTAGCACCCTATATACCCCACCTTCCATGTTGTGACAACCAAAAATGTCTTCAGACATCACTAAATGTTCCCTAAGGGACAAAAATCACTCCTCCAGCCGCCGGTGGTTTGAGAAGGATCCAGATTTGCTGATTTGGTTCAGTTATGCTCATGACTTAACTAACTGGTAGTTTTTGAATTTATGCTTGGGCTTGGCCTCTGATGAAAGGTAATTCACATTCTATACTCATCCTCAGAAATCAATTATTGCACATTTCCACATAAATGCTGGCATTAGGAGACTATGCTAGAAAAGAAAAGTTCTTTTGTCTTCTGCTGCTTCATCATCTAAAAAAAAAGTTAAATTGATCTTCCCAGCCTGGGCATGGTGGCTCATGCCTGCAGTCCCAGCCAAGGCAGGAGGACTGCTTGAGCCCAGCCTAAGCAACATAGGGAGACCTCACCTCTACAAACTTAAATAAATACACGCACACACACACACACACACACAATAAGAGTGAACTCCAGCTAAGAATACCAGTCATGGTGTTAAAATAGCAATTTCCAAACTTTCCTGCACATTGGAATCACCTAAAACATACTTGACAATTACTGATGCCTGGTTCCTACTCTGGTATTGTGATAAAATGAATAATGTGTGTGGATTTTTAGCAGCTCTCCAGGTGATTCCCAATGTTGCTGTACAACGAATTTTAGGAGCCACTATTTTAAACACATTGAATGAACACAATATGTAGCTCTTGTGGAATGATTTTTAAACCGAAATTCTTGTCCCTTTCCTAGGCTTCCTAACCAGAATCCCTGGGGTAGGGGATCCTTGGAACGTGTATTTAACGTTAAGCTCCACGGGTGATCCTAATGCCCAGCCAAAGCTGCAAATTACTAGCTAAGAACAAAGGAGAATCTATGAAATACATGAAACTTCACCTTGCCAGTGGTTCTCAAAACTTGGCCTCAAAATCAACTATATATAGACTGCTGGTCCCACCCACCGTGTTTCTGACTCAGTCCTGGAGTAGGGCCCTAGAATTTGCACTTTTAACAGGTTCCCAGGTGATGCTGATGCTGCTGGTCTTGGGCGCCAAACTCCCAGAACCGCAGCAGTGTAAACAGAGTCCAGGTTAAGTACACTACAGTTACATATTAACGGGGGGGTGGGGAGTGAGAGCTCCTCAAAAGACTAATTCATGCTCCAGTTTCCAGAGTTACCCCCTCTGGAAAAACACATGTGGTCTGCAGAGTGAATGTATGAATAACATATATTTTAAAAGCGTGTGTGCACAGGAAGGTAAGGCTGCGGACCTTTTTGGTGAGATGGAGCTCATACATCAGTGAGTTGCACTCCGCAGCGTGGAATAAGCATAATCACTAAGAAGAATTCCGTGCTCCTTGCAGTTCTGCCACCAATATCTTTGGTGACTTTGGGTGTTAAGTGGCTGTTTTGAACCTCTCTCCTTTTGGGTAGATAATATGGGTCACCTCTTCCACCAACGACCCACAGAGCGAGGGCTGTCCCGGGATTTGTCCTGCAACCCCACCTCTCGCGCCGCGCCACTACGCGGGCAACGCCGACCCCTACCTGGCAGTAGAGCCGATAAAGGGGTACGGCGGCGTAGGACACCCCCAGCATGCCCACGGCGACCGCGGCCACGTAAGTGAGGACCGTCTTGTTCCGCCGCCGCCATTCCTCCTCCTGCGCGCGCCTAAAAGGGTTCGTGCTCTTAGGCCTCCACGGCGGCTGCACTGCCGGGTCCCAGCCTCCAAGGTTGCAGCGCTTCCAGGTCCTCAGGAGCCTCAGTCCTCTCTCGGCACCTCTTGTCCCATTCCACTCTGGCCTAAGAAACGGCTCTACCCTCTCTGCAGCCCTGGCTGTAGACCCACGGTGAAACGAGCACCAGCCACAGAAAAAGAGGCGCCTCCATGCCGGATGCCAGACCCCACCCATAACCCCCAGAGCGACCACCCACCCGCCTCTCAGGGACAAGCAGTCAAATCTCGCGAGGCGTAATTTGTATCGCGAGATCTGGGCTGAGCCTGCCGCTGCTTTGGCTACCAGGCTCCTCAGGTGGCAGCGCCTGTAGTCGGGCTACGGAGGCCGGGTTGCTAGATTATGGGTAAGTTTGCGTTTTGCTTTGTGACTGTTCCTGTCACTTCGCTTCCCGCCGGGGCGTCTCCAACGTTTAGGAAAACGCGTTTGGCTCGTCCGCCTGCAAGCTTGCCATCACTTGGGGTTGTGCCTGTGATCTTTCTAAACTCCACCAGCCTTTGTCTCGACCCAGCAGCCGTGGCGGCGCTCTCCCGCGGTCTTTTCTCCTGGGGTCCCCTGGCCGCTGGCTCTTGTGCTTACTACCCTCGACTTGGTTCAGGGATCATCCCCTCTCTCAGGAAGCCTTGCTGAGTTAACCGCAGACCTCTTGGACACCCACGACACCTGTATTTCCTCAGCCCGTGGGCAGTCGGCTTCCCCTGCTCTGCTGCCCCTTTACAACTTACCCAGTGGAAATCCCCGCAGCTGGAGCGGGAGGGAGGCTGTCAAGCTGAAGTTTGTTGGGGAGAGAGTGACCAAGATATGAGGAAAGGAAAGACTGAAAGAAAAGAACCCCGTGGGGCGATGTAATAGCTTTCTTCAGCCGTCCCACAGGACGAGCTCGAGGGGAGCAGACAGCGTAGCGGATTTTACTGTCATAAAAGGAAGCATCTTTCTAGAAACTATACGATAGCAGCTAAGAGCTTAGCTTCTGAGGCAAGGCGGTTCTGGATTTTTACCCGGCTCCTCACCATGGCTCTGTACTCGTAGGCCACTGACTTGGCCTCTCTAAGACCTGGTGTCCTTACTTGTGACATGGAAATCATAACAGTAAGTGAGAATATTCATATAACGTGACTTTCGTGATGCCTGAGGCATAGTAAGAATTTAGTTAAAAGTTAGGCTGTATTTCTACTTGCTATGGCCAGAGCAGATATAATTATCCCCACCATGTGGATGAGGAAATTGGAGGCCTGAGAAACTTTAAGTCATTTAACATTTTATTTATTTATTGCACTCTCACCTGTGGGCCTAACATTAATGGACCTGCTGGCGCTATAACACAGAACAAGTCGGAAGATCACTTATGTGATGGAGTGACCTTTCCACTGAGGGACTCAGAAGATAATCAAGTAACAGTTACCTAAATAAGGGAATTTCAGATAGCAGTCAGTGCAGTGAAGACAATGGAATAACATAATGAGATTGAGAGTGATGAGAAGGGGTAGTAAAGTAAGGCCCTTCTGAAGAGGTGACATTTGAGTTCAGACCTGAACAATGATAAGGAGCTACCTATTTATTGACAATTCCAGGCCAAGCAAAGGCCCAGGGGAAGGAAAGAGCTAGAAATGATTGAATAACAGAAAGGAGGCCAGTGTGTTCCTACCATGGTGAAAAGTGGTAGGAAATGGGGTCAGAACAGGTAACAAAGACCTGATAATACAGAGCCTTTTAAGCCATGTCCACGGGTTTGGATTTTATTCTAAAAGTAATAGGAATCTATTGAAATGTTTGACGTATGTAAGTGAAACGATCTGACTTACATTTTAAAAAACATATTGGTTACTTTGTGGAGAATGGATTAAAGGTAGGGGAAGAATGGAAGTAGAACAGTTAGGAAGCATCACAGTAGTTCACATGAGTGATGATGGTCACCTTGAATGAGTAATTGATTAACTTGTGGTCACGGGGCCAAAAAATTGCAGCACCAGTAAAATCTAAATACCTTCTGAGTTCATTCTTTACCTTGGCATACTGTCTCAAAAATTCCAGATCTCCATGATTCTACAGATTTATTCATATTGTGTTATGACAATATTTGAAAATCATCTTCATCTGCATGCACCTTGGTTCTTGTACAAGATTTTCAACTCTTCTAGTATGAGATTTCTCATAGTTTAATTTTCTTACAGCATAGACTGATATTCCTGACACCAACAATACATTTCCTCTCACCATTCTTTTTCTCCAGGCACCCCTTCCTTGTAGCAGTATAAATATATATCAGTAATACAGTCTTTGTCTTAGACTCTAGTATTTTATTTTTTATATAATAACTGCAAAAGGAAACTCTTGTGTACAATAATATTGATAGCAATGAAGTGGTGTTGGTCTTTGTAGCTTTCTACTTTATTAAAAGAAAATATGCATCATATCTGATCTTAAGATGATAAAGTGAAATGATAGGATAGCTCATGTTTATGAAATACTTTTGTATGACAAGTAAAATATTTTTTTTACTTATATTATGAATGAGATGTATAGAACATTCAATGTCCAATTAACAAACATATTAAACAATTAAAACATTTCTACAACATAATAGTACTCAAATTTCTTGTACACCCTTCACCAACATTAGAGAATGATAAAGATTCTTCAATCTTTATCATTTCTACACCATTTGAGAATAGATTTTAGACTTGATGTTTTAGAACTGTATACTTACTTATTTCTTATTAGGAAGACACTCTTTCCAAACCACAAAGCAGGCATCAAAATCAACAAGTTAATATTTATCCAGTATTAAATATCCAGTATTACCATATATAGTCAGCTTGGACTACCAATAGCAAAATATTGCAGACCAGTTGCTTAAACAACAGAAATATTTATTTCTCACAGTTCTAAAGGCTGGAAAGTTCAAGACCAAGGTATCAATGGATTCACTTCCTGGTGAGGGGTCTCCCTGGTTTGCAGACATCTGCTATCTTGCTGTGTCCTTACATAGATTGGAGTGAATTAGCTCTCTTATAAGGACACCAATCCCATGAGATCAGGTTCCTACCCTGATGACCTCATTCAACTATAATTACTTCCTAATCCAAATACAGCTACACTGGGGGTTAGGGCTTCAACATATGGATTCTGGGGGATATACATTAAGTTCTTTACACCATGTTATTCATGGACTCTACTTAAATTACCCTATTTATACCAATCATTTCCAATTTAGATCTAGGATCTAATTCAGGATTACTCGTTGTTTTTAGTTATCATGCTTCTTCAGTCTTTTTCAATCTGGAATAGTTGCCAGTCTTTTCTTGTTTTTCATATATATATTTAATGTAATATACATATTAAAGAGACAAGATCTTGTGGGGTTGCCCAGGCTGGTTTCGGATTCCTGGCCTTAAGGGATTTTGGTCTCCCAAAGTGCTGGGATTACAGGTATGAGGCATCGCACCCAGCCTTATCTTTCATGACTTTTGACATTTTTGAGGACTACGGGTTGGTTACATGATTAAGTGTTCCTCAATATAGGTTTGTCTGATGTTTCCTCATGTTTGTGACCCCTTCACAGGAACATCATAGAAGAGATGCTGTACTTCAATCAGTGAATCCTCTTAGGTGTCACGTGATCTCGATTTAGTCCATGGCTTCATGAAGTTAACTCATATTTCTTTAAGATTGTATCTGCCAGGTTTCTCTGTTATAAGGTGAATTAGTACATATGTCACACTCATAAATTAATAGGAAATGTATGTTTTATGGGGAGAAGCTTTGTGTTTTGTAAGGAGAAGCTTTGAGACTATAAATTCTGTTTCTCATCATACATTCTCCTACCAGATTTAGCATCCATTGATGCTTCTTGTTTGAATCTGTTATTACTGTGATGGATACCAAATGATAATTTTCTAATGTTATCAAACCTTTTAGGTTTATTAGTTGGCATTTTACTGTAAGGTAGAGTTTTCCTTGCTATACCATGTATTTCTTGTTTATTTGTTTATGTCAGTACAGACTCATTAGTTTTTTTTTGTTTGTTTGTTTTTGTTTTTGAGACGGAGTTTCGCTCTTGTTACCCAGGCTGGAGTGCAATGGCACGATCTCGGCTCACCGCAACCTCGGCCTCCCGGGTTCAGGCAATTCTCCTGCCTCAGCCTCCTGAGTCGCTGGGATTACAGGCATGTACCACCATGCCCAGCTAATTTTTTGTATTTTTAGTAGAGACGGGGTTTCACCATGTTGACCAGGATGGTCTCGATCTCTTGACCTCATGATCCACCCGCCTCGGCCTCCCACAGTGCTGGGATTACAGGCTTGAGCCACCGCGCCCGGCCCGACTCATTAGTTCTTATTTTAATCAAGGGTTAACATTTACTATTATTATTTATTCATTTATTTCTTGAGACGAAGTCTCGCTTTGTTGCTCAGGCTAGAGTGCAGTGGCGCGATCTCGGCTTACTGAACTTTCACCTCTTGGATTCAAGCGATTCTCCTGCCTCAGCCTCCTCTGTACCTGGGATTACAGGCAGGTGCCACCACGCCTGGCTAATTTTTGTATTTTTAGTAGAGACGGGGTTTCACCATGTTGGTCAGGCTGGTCTTGAACCCCTGACCTTGTGATCCACCTGCCTTGGCCTCCCAAAGTGCTGGGATTACAGGTGTGAGCCATTGCTCCCAGCCTATTGCTATTATTTTTAAATTCTGATTTCAGATTTTCCTAGACTTGGCCAATAGAAGCCCCCTTTTGACGTGTTTTTATCATTCTTTAATCACTTCCTTATTTTTTGGCACAACAACATGTGCCATGCTTATCTTGTATTTTCCTGATCTGCCTTGGAATCAGCCATTTCTGCCAGGAATTTTAGTTTCTTTAGTGGAAAGTCGTATATAGAAACAAACTCTGGGCACTAAAAGTGTTCATTCATAGCCCTTTTCAGCAGAGAGAACCTAGAGAATTTGTGTGTTTAAGCAAATTTGCATATGTGTGTTCAACAACAGGAAACCTGGCTACTTTTATCATCAATGTTTAGACTTACTTGCTCAATCCTCCCATATGTAAGCAGATTACTGTGGCTGAAAGCTTGGCCCTAGACATGTGAGTTCATCCCTCCCTGGAATGTCAGCCCAAAGCTAGGTATTGAGTATGCTGCCACTACTACCATCCAAAAACTCAGCAAGACAAAAGTGGGTGAGGAAGAAGGAAAGAGAAAAGAGTAGTTCAGAATTTCAGCTCCAGACATTTTAGAAGAGGTAGGAGGAAGGAGGAAAGGCCAGTTAGGAAGTTTGATTCTAGACACATAGGCCTTTTCCCCTACTGTTTTCCCAAGCTCAGCCCATGAAGAAGGCAAGCAGGCTTAG